CTATCTGTCCATCCATGGTTGAAACACTCCATTTTTGTTAAACTTTTCAAACCTTGTTATACAGTAGTGTTTAAGGTTTCAAACATTGCATCTGTCCACCCTCTCAGAAGTGAAAGCCAGTGGGGCATCTCGCATCAACAGCGTGGAACTTAAACAGCCTTGTCCCATTCCCCCTAAGCGGATATTGAACTCACGTGAAGTTGTTAACGACCATGTTCACTGCATCAACTAAGTCTTGGGCTTTCATCGTGTTAAAATCCAGCTCAACTGCCATCCCCTTGGCCCTCATGTGAGCAATGTTGTCAGGCTGGTCAGCAAACATGGGAATGCCAACCATGGGCACCCCATGGTAAATAGCTTCATAGATCCCATTGGTTCCACCGTGAGTGATGAAGGCTTTTGTCTTGGGATGGCCTGGAACAGGAGAGAAGTTTGAAGGAACAGTTATGGCAGGAAGACTCAGACTCCAGAAAGCAAAGTAACTGTTTGTTGCTACCTGGGAAAGGACTGTTTGTAGAGGGAATAGTTCTGACTGCTCTCAAACAGCAGTTCAGATGAGCAATGACTGTCTTCCCAGCATTTGTGTTTGCATGGCTATACAACAGTAATCAAGCCCGAGTCACCTCTCTGCTTCTCCAGTTTAGCCCAGTGAAACTCCAGCCTCAGTGTTATGTGGGGTGCTTTCCTTTGCATTTGCTCTAGTTTATCTCTCTCTCAGTATTCTGTTCCATGAAACCCTTCCCTTCTCTCACACATGCAATCAAACACTGAGTAGCATGGTACTGGGGGTAAATCAATGCTTCTACTGCCCTGGTTTTGCACAGTGCTCCTTCAGAACACACAGCTGAGGACAAGAGTAGCCATTCTCACGACTGGGAACCCAAAGCTAATATCTGTGGTTCACTCTTGCACTCACTTGCTTCTTGCTGGCACCAGGTGAAGGCCCCTCCCCTACCCCATTGATCTGCACTGATTTCAGCACCAGGCAGCCTGGCTATATTCTCCATTGTGCTTGCATGACCAATCCCACTGGGGCCACCAGGCACTTCTGGATTTGTACAGCTAAAGCAGAGATTCTAAACCAGGGTGCCACAGCATCCTGTTAGGTGTGCAAACTGTTAGGTGTGCAAACATGATTCCCAAGGTAAACCCAGAGATTCCAAATAGAAATCCATAGGTGTGATCTTTCTGAGTTCTTAGTGACAGAAAAAAACTACTCTATTACTGCTTTGTAGTCCTGTTAGGCCAGAGGCCTAAATTCCCCACTGATATCTAACATCAGGAGGGTGATCCAGGTGGATCTTGACAGGCTCATGAAAT